AACTGACTACAAGAGCTCTTCCGTGCCATAAATTTGGGAGTTTTTTCCTGATGTCTTATTCTAAAATTTTGAATATCTCATGCTTCCGTATGTAAGATTTAAAAGGCAAGTACTAAGGACAGGTTTAAGCTGCCATTTGGCACACCAGATTTCCGTATCAGTGTCTTGTCTACTGTGTCTCTGATACCATCCCCTCTGGATGCACCTGGAAAGCATCAGATAATAGCTCAAGTTCCTGTGGGGGACAGAGTTCTTGGTTCCTGGATTGAGCCCAGTCCCAACTATTGCAGCTGTTTGGGGAAGGAATCAGCAGACGGAAGCACATACTCTCTCTCTCCTTCTCTCCCTTTCTCTGTCACTCTACCTTTCCAAAAAATAAGTAAATCCTTTTAAATAAAAAATTCAACCTATTTCTAATGAAGAAATTACTCCACTATTCTTTTTTTAATTTTCTCAACACTACAGAAATAAAATACAACACATAAAATAAAACTGATGCTGAGAGATATTTAAGATAATAATGCTCATCATAAGTTCTGCTTTCAATTTTTTTGCGCAATAAAATAAATATCAATATCTTACTTTTACGGTGATTTTTCAATAGCAAAATATAATTTTCATTTACTTATGTTTTATGTTTTAATGTTCCTTATAAGATTTCATGAAATTAAAGGTTTCCACAGGGGGCATGATTAACATTTTGGTTTAGATAATTTTTGGTTATTTTGCTTTATGCCTCGTGGGCTGCTTAGCAGCATCACTTAGATGCCACTACAGACCCTCCAGCCACAAGTGACAATCAAAAGTATCTTGAGAGACTGCCAAATGTTCCCTGTGAGAGAAAATCACCCATGAATGAGTAGTGTTAGCTTAGGCCAACAGATTATAAAGTTCCAGTTTAGTAATTCCCAGAGAATGTTCACATCTACATGCCTTTTTATTCATAAGCAGCTGTTAAAGGATGTAGCATACAGAATAATTTTCAAAATGTTTTAAATATTCACACCATCTTTTATTTAAAGTTTTGTGCATCATAAAAACAATGATTCAGAATTGTATTTTGAGAAAGAAAGAAAGCCTCTTCTTCCCCAGCTCTGGATTCCAGCTTCCTACTAATGAGACCCTGGGAGGCAGTAGGATAACTCATGCCACATGGCTTCATTTCCAGCACTGGATTTTGCTATTTCTCCATGGATGGAAGCATTTCAAAGTATATGTTTAAAAGATATTCATGAAATATTGTTGAGTTAATAAATTAACCCATGTGATCATGCAAGCAGGAAGTAGTCAGGAAGCTAGTCAATTCTTCTATGTGGTATGCTCTGGAATACAAATAGCCTTCAGGGTCGTGTGTGTATGACCACTTAGAAAAACTTTCTAATTAAGCATCAAAACTCCCCTTGCTCTTGCCTAATGTTCAAATAAATCCAGTTAAATTGATCAGTGCCATAACTAGCAAAGGCACCATAGGAACTGTCCACATGTTCACAGCTGTGAACTTCATTTTTTATAAGAAAATCCAAAGAGATATTGTAAACGGCCAGCATTCTTTTTGTGTGTGTGTTTTCCCAAACAGTGTTTTAAAATAAAAACACTACTGAGAAAGATGTTATATGCCACTTAGCTTAACATAAATGACCAAATCCATAACTTGCCTGGGTGTTTTCAAAAATGACCTCTCAAAAAAATTTTAGAAAATCTTTATATGTGTGAAAGTACTTCAAAAAGTTCATGAAGAATAGAATTAAAATATGATCATCCTGTTGCAAAAATTTTTGAAATCTAGGCACAAGTTTTTCTTCACACAAATTTTCTACAATTTTTTGAAGACTCGACATACACTATATATGCATAGCATGTAATATTATAGATACACAATATATACCTTCCATATATATGCATATACATTATGCTGAAGGTGGACTATGTCAGTCAATAGACCTTGGAAGGATTTCCTCAACCTTAGAGCAATGAAATCAACAGCATCTCAAAACTATCAAAACCTCCCTGAGTTCCGATGGTGGTGAGACTGCTGGGAGCGGCCCTCTCCCCTTCTCTCCCACTTTCCTGGGGAACAGAGAAAAGATTGGAATGTTTCATCTACTTCTCTACTTTCCCCCACGTCTTGACCTGCCCCACCCTAACTATGTAAACATCATCATGTAAACATACGTCATGCTATGTGAACAAGCATCCTTGTTAACTATGTCAATATCATCAAAAATAATGTAAATGTTTTATTTAAAAGATTCTCTAAAAATAAAGTTGTAATACACCAGGAGTCATAGACAGCTGTTTTTGTTTGTTTGTTTGTTTGTTTGTTTTGCTGTTGCTTTGTCTTGTCATATGAGAAACAGAAATAATGCAAATTCATCCTAGTGAAAATTCTGCAGGAATTGACAGAGACATTTCTGAGATGCTCTTGCACTTATGGAAAGGTGCGAAATAATAATCGTAATGATTGCACTTCGTTGGGAAGCACAGCTGAGTACAGGGCAATGGGCTGGGAACTTGCATCTATTATCCTGACCTATCCTGCAAGGAAGGTGCTTTGATGAGGCAACTGATCATCACAGAGATAATTGAAATAATTCCAATTCACACCATTAGTATGTAGCAAAGACTCAAGTCCCATCTGACTGCATTCACAATTTTAATACCTTTATTGTTATAGCCTAGACTACTAGAGCAATTAATTACATTAATTATGATTTAATCTTCATGAAAATGCAACAAGCTAAATTCAACAGCAGACCAAAAGGGTCATACACCATGACCAAGTAGGATTTAATCCCAGGATGCAGGTAATCAATGTGACTTCACACAGCAACAGATCTGGGGATAAATACAAGAACAACTCAGTAGATGCAGAAAAAGCATTTGGCAAAATTCAACATATTATTCATGATATGAACCCTCTAAAAGTAGGCATAAAGGAATTTACCTCAACACAATGAATATATTGTACGATAAACTTAGAACTAGCATTGCAATCCACAAGTCTTGGCATCACACTTCAAATTATTATAAAACAATTATATAGCAATAAAAATAGAGTGCTAGAAAAACAGAAATATAGACCACTAAAGCAGCACTGACAATTCCCACATCCCATATAATTACATCAATCTTCATCAAGGACATAAGAACACACCATGGGGAAAGTTTAGTCCCTTCAAAGCGTGGCGTTCAATAAACAGGATATCCACTGGTATAAAAGGAAATTGGACCATATATAAACCCTACATCTAAAGATTGATCAAAGACTTAAGAATAAAAACTGAAACCATAAAGCTACCAACAGAAAAGCAGGGGGAAAACCTCTTGACATTGGTATTCTCAATAATCGTATGCACATGAAATCAAAACCCCAGATCATAAATGCAAACAATAAATAGTAGTTAATCACACTGAAAAGCTTTGAGACAGCAAAAGAAACAACAAAACTAGTGAGCAGTCTATAAAAGAGGAGGAAATATTTACAAATAATGTATCTGATAAAGGATTGCTGACCAAAATAAACAAATATCTTATGCAGTTCAGTATCAAAAACAAGTAATTGAATTAAAAGCTGTGCGGTAGAGTCAAATAAAGGCTGATCAAAACAGTGAACTCAGATGGCCAACAGACATTTGAAAAAGTTCTAGCAAAGGTCAAGTAAGTGCAAGTCAAAATCAGAATGAGATAAACTCTCACAACAGGATGCTTATTATCAAAAAGACGGAAGATAGTAATTCTTGTGTGTACAAAGAGGTTTTGCACACTAATGAGAATGTGAATTTGAAATCTTTGTCTTGGGAATAGGAGGAAGGAGTCTGCTGTAATTCCATGTGAATGTTATGATTTCTCCCATTTCTATTTTAAAAATCCAATGGAATTTCGATAGTGATAGTTTGGAACTACAGGCCACTTTGGGTAATATAGTCATTTTAATAACATCGTTGCTTCTGCTTTGTGAACATAGGATAGGATTCCACTTGTTCATCAGTGTTTTGTTAGTCTTAGTGCACAGGTCTTTCTTCTCTTTATAGTAGTCCAATTATTTTATAATTATTTTATAATTAGGTAGTCCTTTATTTTGTTATTGTTTTTAATAAATAGGATGCCCTCTTAATTTCTTTATCTGAGAGTATTTTGTTGTGTGAAACAAAATGTTTGTATGTTATGCCTTTGCTGTATTAATTTTTTTCTAATTTTTTTAAATGGAGACTGAATTTCCTATGTTATGTATATGATGATGCCATTGGCAAAAAGATGATTTTACTTCCTGCCCTCTGATTTAGAATGTCTCTTTTTTCATTCTTGATTTCTCTGGCTTGGGCTTCCTGGAAAACAGTGAGAATCACTGACCTGTTCCAGATGTTAAAGCAAAAGTTTCTTTATTATTTTTTTCATTTTTCTTTGTCGATATGATCATGTGGTTTTCTTTTGTTAGTAATGATGAAATTGTGCATTACACTGATGGAATTGCACGTGAGGTTGATTATTATATAGCGATCTCAAGAATAAATCCCGATAGGTCATCTTATCTAATGCACTTCATGTGCAGTTTGACAGATTACTAGTATTTTATTGAGGGTTCTGTCTTCCATGTTCACTAAGGCTATTGGCCTGCAGCTATCTTCTCCTGTATTATCTCTGTTTAATATTGGAATCATGGCAGCTCTGGTCTCACAAAGCAAATGTGAGCACGTCGCATCTTTCAGTTATTGGAAGATTTTGAGAGGATTTAGCACTGGGTCTTCTCCAATGTTTGGTAAAATTGACTCATAGAAGTATCTGATCCTGGCTACATTGATTTGGTTTTGATTGGTGATTTAATCTTACTGTTTTTACTAGTGTGGTCGGGCTCTCTATTCCTTCTTGATACATTATAAGAAAATGTATGTTCCTAGGAATTTACCCATATCCACATGGATGACCCTGTTGTTTAAATTATTGGTATATTACATAATAGTCCCTAATGATCTCACACAATTTTTGTACCTTTTATCCGGTAGGATCACAACCACAGCCGCCTGTATGATGGATCTCCGAAGATATCCCCTGGATGAACAGAACTGTACTCTGGAGATTGAAAGCTGTGAGTTACCTGGGCAGGGACATGAGAAAGAGGGAGGTTTGATCTAATTAAATTCAGCCTTTCCCTGAGTTTACCAGTACTAGTACATTCTGTCCTAAACTGCTTTGCTGACTTTCCAAGAAGCTGATGGTTCAGTGGAAGTTTTATTTGCATCGGTGGCCCAACAGTCATTTCAGTGAAGTTATCTTTCTGGAAACTTAGACAAAAATCATTGATGCTATCTCAACAACTTATAAATTCTCTTCCATAAAGTGAGGTTTGCCTAAAGCATTTCAATGTCAAAGTTGTATCCATAAACAGAGAAATATTTTAACATAAAAAGACGTTGAGATGCTTTTGGTTTTATGGGTCGGTTGATCTCAAAGCCCGAGACGGTAACAGAGTCTTGTTTGAAAACCGTGTCTTTTCTTGCAAAAGAACAAGATGATAAATGCTGCTCAGGGTAACTTAATGTTTTTGAGGTCTAGTGATTGATTCTTGTCTGTCCTCTTGAATTGCTTTTCACTGACCACTTTCTTAACAAATCAAGCATTTTTACCACTAAGATTTATACTGTACAGTAGCTAATTCAAATCCTTATTATTGTACTTAATGTAATGCAAGAAACCAACAAATATTCACTTTAAAAAATATAAGATGCTTTCTAGTAACTTAAAGGAGCATTAATTTAAGGTGGTATTTCAATTGGTGCTGAGTTGTAAGTAACAAATGATGAAATTATATGCATTTTCCCCCAAAATGTGCACTTTATTTTTATTTTCAAGCAAAGTAACTAATGCAAGTGAACTTTACTCATTTCTATGTTAGCAAATAACCAGAAGGTTGCTAACTATTACTAAATATTGATTATGTATTGATTCTTAACTTTACATAATGAATGTGCTGTTTTTCTGTAGATATTCTTCCTGACAGAGTATCGAGACTAGAAATGAGTTTTAAAATGACTAAAAACAGGAGGCTCCCAAGTCAATTAGGAAATAAGAATGTTACAATACATATTCCACAGATACAAAATTGAACCAGTCATACTTTTGTAACTAGTCCAGTGGAGGTTTCACTTACTCTACAGAGGGACTAGTTTGCCAGCTCTTTCCATTCCAAGGGTAGGGAAATGCTGTTCTTGGTTACATCTTCTGAGACAAATTAAAGATGCTTTGCTTATTGTTAATGTCATCTCATCAAGTAAAATTGGAAAGCCATGAAGTCTCATTAAATTGAAAACTTACTTGAACTTGGATCAGATTATAGCCATGGGATGCTATAAAATGAGTTAATGAATACTGAAAAATCAATCAAAGAATTTAGTGTGAAGAGGTTTTGGAATTCGAATTCAGTAAAGCTACCATGCGATAATATGACAGAAGATGGGGATATCAACAGTCGACTATTCCAGTAGCTTTTACTATTTTGTGCAACACGAACTGAAGAAAATCTCAACACTAGTCTTACAGCAGCCAAGGTGATCTTATCAAGATGTAAATTGGATCATATTGATTCTCTGTTCAAAAATATTCAGATTTCCCGTCACACCAAAAAAAAAAATGTCCTTTTTCTTATTTTGATCTTCAGGAGTCTGTGTAATCTAACCTTCCTTGATTTCTTTAGTTTCTTCTCTACTCATGGTCCTGTTTCTTAGTAGTATGAATTCTAATACAACGCACATTAGTTCCTTGTATAGCAAGTATTCTATCCTCTCATAATCTCATCATTTTATTTCATCTGGTTCAAATACCTTTGCTGATGGTAGCTCTTTTAACCTCTTTTTCTCATTTTTGAGTCATTTCCAACAAGTCTATAATGATAATTCAGTACGAACTAGGCTATCCTAGGCACTGTCCTTCAAGAACGGTGTATTAGTGTTCCATTGCTGTGATCTAAATGTCTGTGTCCTGCCTAAATTAGCGTGCTGAAACATAGCCCTCAGTTATCTGTACAGAGTTCTCATTAACAGGATTAAGAACCTAAAAAAGTGGCCTCAGAGAGTGTCTTTGTCCCTACCACCATGTGAGCACACATTAAAAGTCACCATCTACTGACATCAAAGTTGGCTAGCACCTTCATCTTCAACGTCTAAGCCTAGAGAACTGTAAGAAATGTGTTTCTATTGCATGCATGTTATCCAGTTCATCCAGTTGTATATATGTTATGCACTGTATCTTGTCACAGTGGCCCAAATGAACTAAAAAATCCATGTAGCACTTAGGAATATTTATTGGCTCTTACTTTTATTTATTCTGCCTGGAGAATACAAGCTTCCTGAGGAACTCACTGTTGGATTCACAACTAGTAAATAAGAGCTAGTCTAATACCTGAAAATAAGGTAGATATTTGTGTGGTAATATTTCAGCTCTGACTTGTTCAAATCTATTTAATGTTGAACAATAAATCTAGTTTTAATTTTTAAAATAAGACCTGAGGTGCAGATCTTTTACCTGCAATTTTTGCATTTGTTCAGTTTTATTTTCATGTTTTGTCATTATTATTTTTATTACTATAAAGGGAGCTCAGTTATGCATCTCATATGTGCAGTTGAAAAAAAGACACATTTCGCTACCCATTCTCCAACCCGCTTTTCCTCTATCATCATCAAATTTTGCAAAGACATAACTTTAACCTACTCTATATTTACAAATTTAATTCACCAAAAATCATAGTTTCGAACAAGTGAGAGGTAGAAATAACCAAATTCCAAAGAGTATACAAAAGGACTAAGCATAAAAACCATATCCCACATTGACAATTTCATTACTATACATATTTTGTACTGTATATTAAGTGACACACATCAGAGAAATTAAAACTTGTACTTTTGAGGCTGGCTTATTTCACTAAGTGCAATGATTTTCAATTGCATTCATTTTTGTTCAATAGGCAAAATTTCACTAAGTGCAATGATTTTCAATTGCATTCATTTTTGTTCAATAGGCAAAATTTCATTGTTTTTGTAGCTGAGTAACATTTCATAGTATATATATATATAAAACATTTTCATTATAGAGTCATCAGTTGATGGGCATCTGGATTGATTCTATATCTTAGTTATTATGAATTGAGCTGCAATAACTACAAATAACTCTCTGATTCCATTTCACTTGGATAAATTTCCAGGAGTGGGATGGTTGTCATATGGTGCATCAATTTTCAGACTTTTTAAAAATATCCGTACTGTGTTCCATAATGATTGTTTGAATTTACATCTCCACCAATAATGGGTTAGGGTATATTTTTTCCCACAGCTTCACTGGCATCTATTGGGTTTTGTTAGGTTTTGTTTTATGTTGTGGATGAAGATCTTTCTAAGTGGGATAAGGTAAAATCCCCTTGTGATTTTTATTTACATTTTCCTGATGGCTAATGAACTTGTGTATTTTTTATGTCTGCTGGCCTATGTATTATCTCTTATGAAAATTGCCTGTTCATAGCCTTTCTCCATTTCTTAACTGGATTGTTCATTTTGCTGTTGTTGAATTTCCTGAGCTCTTTATGGATCCTGGATATTAATCCTTCATAAGTCACTTAGTTTGTAAGTATTTCCTTTGTAGTGCAGAAACTTTTTAGCTTGGTATAATCCCAGTTGTCTATTTTGATCTTCATTTCTTGTGCTTCTAGAATTTTTTTCCAAAAAAGTCTTTGCCTATTGCTTTGCAGAGTTTCCTAATGATTTACCATAGTAGTCTGATGGAATCAGGATATATATTTACATTCTGGATCCAATTTGAGCTAATATTCATGTTTTAAGACTATATTAGAACATTAAAATTATAAGCGTGTTCAGCAGACTTGACTTTAGGAAAAACCAATATTATAACTGAGGTTCAAAGACAAAAAAAGAATATTGATACATCTAGTTTGAAGGACATTGGACGACAGGAATTCTCTTCTACACAGAAGGTCAGACTTATTGGTCTATTTAGACCTCAAACTGATTTGATGAGGCCTATTGCCATTAGGAAGAGTAACCTGCCTTACTCCTTCTACCATATATTTTAGTTAAACCATTTTTTTAATTTTAATTGCAAAGATACACAAACAGACAGATAGATTGTCCACCAATTGATTGTCCTTAAATGCCTACAAAAGCCAAGACAGCCAGGCAAAAAGCAGATGCCCAGAACTCCACCAAGACCTCTACTGGGAGTAGGGACCCAAGCACTTTGACAATCATCTACTGCCTTCCAGTGTGATCCTTGGCAGGGATTTGAATCCAAAATGGATGTAGACGTTGTGTGAGGATGTGAACATGCTGAGTTTCAACTTAACTTGCTATGCCATAATGCCTACTCCACAGTCTACCAACTTCAATGTTAAATTCATCCAAAGCATCCCTGAAGGAACACACAGAATAATGTTTGACCAAATTTCTGGCACTTCCACGACCTACTAAAGTGGATAATAAGACCATCAGAATTCCAGATTTTAACTCATCAATTCCCTTCAACTAATGTGAGTAACCACATGCTTTAAATGCTCTTGAGTGCTCGTAATGAAGCAACAACCAAACAGAACTAAACTGTCATCCTTCTTGCTTCTCATGTGCCTGGGAAGGCAACAGAGGAGGGCTTAAGTACTTGGAGCCCTGCCACTCGGCTCTTGGCTTCAGCCTGGCTCATGACTGGCTATTACACCCATTCAGGGAATGGGGCAGAATATGAAAGAGAGCATCCTCTCTCTCCACTCCCTGTCTCTCACTCTCTCTGTGTCACTCTGTCTTTCAAATAAACATAAGAATTCATCTAAAGAAACAAAAAATATAGAACTTCCTTTCTTATAAGGACCTTAATTAATTGGAAATGGCCACCCATCACCAATTAATGCAAAATATATCCCTCATTAGAAAGCAGTTTAATTTTAAAAATTCAACATGTCTTTTCAACTTTCAAATCTAGAACTATGGGAGTTGATTCGATTTATTAATCTCCATGCCTGCCAACAATACTGTTCTAAAGTGATTCTGATGTGTTAAGGAAAGTATAGAATACATGAACATATAAATAGTCACA